CCCAGGCCCGGACCCAGGCCGCTCGTGGCTACTCCCTTCCCCCAACTGTCAAAATGGCCCAAGCAATCAAATCCAGCCTTCTGTCCAGATTTACAGCATCACCAGGACAAGGACAACACACTCTCTAGGACAGAGAACCCAGATGATGAGCAGGGAAGTTCAGGCAGGGCGGTGGCCTCTGCCTGGGACAGCAGAGACCAGAACTGACAGGGGTCAGGTCAGAAAGGAGGGCAGGTTTGGTAGAGGGAAGGATTAAAGAACAAAGCCTGGGTAATTCCCCGTATATCCTGCTCTGTGACCTCACGTATGTGCCTTCATGGCCCGAACAATTCATCGCCTGGAAAGCAGGTGCCTAAGCCAGTGTTTGGAGACCACCCGCATCTGAATCACCAGGGTGCTTGTTAAAAATTTTGATTCCTCAACCCCACCCCAGACCTCGTGAATCAAATTCTGGAGATGGAGCCTGAAAGTCTGCATACTCAACAAGCTCCCTGGAAATTCAGAAGGCCCTGAGGACTGAAGACCCCGAGCTCTAGGCGTGAGAAGCAGTGTGTATCCCCTCACTCCAAAGAGTCTGTCCTCCTAGTATGACCAGCTAGCTTCCTTGGAAGATGAATAACTGTCCCCTGCCCCAGCCCAGGGGGGCAGGGAGCAGAATGGGATCCGGGGCTCCCTTCCTGGAGGAGCAAAGCCGGCGCCACCCACCTCCATGGTGTAGTTAGTGTGCTTGTTGTCGAAGATGAGAGCCTCCTGGATGAGCTGGTGGTCGCCCTCCAGCTGGTCGATCTTGGGCTTGTAGTTGACGATGCTCTTCTCATACTGCCGCAGGTGGCTGAGCTGGTCCTCCAGGGTCCCGTGCATCTCAATGGAGATCCGCCCAATCTCCTGCTCACCCAGAAGGAAGCCCTGGTCAGACTACCCCGCTCTGCACCCCTAGGGTAAGGACTGGGGTGCCTAGGTCATCAGTCAGCCCCTCAGATGATTCCTCGGTTCCTACTCCAGCACCAGGGAACCCGTCAGTGGTAATTAGCAAGCCGAGAGCAAGACACATTCAGCAGGGATGCACTTTGGCATGGAAATAGCATCATAAAGGGGTATGAAAAACACTGTCATCATCAGATGAAATACTTCCTGTCTCTCAAGTAGCTCTCAACCTCAGAAAGGGGCTGCAAGGTCAGTTGCTAACCTAAATGCTCATTCCTCTGCTTGCCATTCAAACTCCCAGCCCAAGCCTGTTCCCAACTGTCACCCATCTCAGGGACTCTCTCTGTGCCCAGGGAGCCAGATTCTTCACAGCCTCAGAGCACCGGACTTACCTCCTCAGTGGCTATGCCTGCCTTGGCCTGCCTCAATCCCACCTGCCCCATGGGCCAGGCCTAATCCCCCTTCCTGTCTGTCCTTCATCCATGTAAACAAACATTTGTAAAAGCCCTTTCTGTGCGCTCAATTCGACCCAGCAAATATTTCCTGAGCACCTACTATGCACAATGTGCTAAGCAGATAGGGCTGGGGTACAGGAGAGACACAAACATGACCTCGAGATGGTCTTTGCCCTCAAGGAGCTCGGAGGGACACCATGCTCTAACCCTAGCAGTGCCCCCTTCCCTGATCTACAGAACCCCAATATCTGGCCCAACGATTCAATAAAAAGTTCTATGCCTGCCTGAGCCTCGGTTCTCTCTCTGGAAAGATCCTGCTCTTTGCTCAAGAGGAAGGGAGGCCTGGTTAGCCAAATAAGCTGAAGTAAGCTAGTCAGTTCCCCAGGCACTCATCCCTCCGTGGGACTTTCTCAGGTGGCTCTTCAGTGGCATCCATGTGCAGGTCTTCGCTCCCGAACCAGACATTGGGACCAACCCACCGGCCTTCCCTGACAGGCTCCACACCCTCTGTAGGGCAGCAGACCAATCTTGAACCTATTTAGGAATGCATTCCTCCACGAGTCTCGCCAAGGAGGAGACAGGGCAAGCCTGACTGGCTGGGATGGTGCTGGGAAGGGGTGGAAACCCCTATCCCTGCCTCCCATGATGGGACTTACCTCCATCTTGGTCTGAATCCAGGGCCCGATGACATTGGCCTGGGCTGCGAACTGCTTGCGTAGCCTCTCATTGTGCTGCTGGCGGGCATGCTCCTCCGTCAGGGCCTGGTCCCTCCGTGGCACCAACTGCCGCACCTGGGGTGGGAACAATCACAGAACCTTGGGAATGGACCAGCCAGCCACCTGCCCCATTCTTCAGATCAGGGAATGGAGGAGCCATGAAGGGAAGGGGCCAGTCAGTAAATAGAACAAGAGTGAACATGTTGACCTGTTCCAGAAATTCAGCCATTCATTAACTTGGCAGATGAACGCTTGCCATGTAATGATGAAATAAATAAATAAATAAAATCAATGAAAATCAACAACAAAAAAGGTAAAATCCCTGCCCTCATAAAACTTGCAATGGCTCGGCCACAATGTCCCACCAGCCCTTGGACTCACGTGGTCCCACTTGCTATTGATCTCCTGAGGAGTGATGGTTGTGTAGGGGTTGGTGCCCGCCATGTTGACGTGGTAGGTCTGGACAATCTTGGACACCTCGTTGTGGATACCCAGGATGGCCAGGCGTTCCTTGTCGGCATCAGGGAGGGTGGCCTTGAACTGCTCATGGGCTGTGGTCAGTCCCTGGATGCAAGAGAAACACAGTGACTGGTGCCTCGTGTGGGCAAGATGAACTACGGGAGCCCTACAGGTCCCAGGGTAGAGGTGGGTGGGAAGGCCACTGAAGGCATGGCCCCACACCAGCAGGGAGACCTGGAGCATCAACCAAGGATGCTCATGGCTGAGAACCAGGAGAGCAGGGCTGGCCACGGGGAGGTGAAGGCAGAGCCATTAAAGCAACCGCTTCATGCCTGTGGCTGGTAAAGTCAGGGGCGACCACCCTAGAGTGCGCACCCCCCCGCAGTCAGGTGGGGGACAAGTCTGCTCCCCAGGTGACCTCCCCCAACCCAGGCTCTCCCTCTGCAAAATCTTTTAAACCTAATACACCACAGCTGTATAAAAGAATGGGGAAGTGGTTTATTACAATGCAATGAGCTCCAAAATATTTAAAGATAAAGGGTTCAGAATACAGTACCCAACAAAAGCTACCTTTTGTGTTAAAAAGGGGTATGGGGAAGAACGTGTTAATAAATAAATCTATTTGCCTGCATGTGCAGAGACTGCGGGGCTGGGGGACAAAGGTAGGAGGGAGAATTTATCGTATATTCTTTTTACCTTTTTGGTTTTACATGACCTGCATAAATTACCTAGTCAAAATAAATAAAATGCAATTCTTCCAAACCTATCAACTCCTTGCTCGCTATCTCCATTCCCCCATCCTCTCCCTAGAGAGCAGTCATGCAGGAGTAAAGTTTGCAGAGTGAGGTTTCCACGGGTGTCTGGTGGGGGTGCAGCTTCCAGGGGTGAGGGGTCCGCAGCGCACCTGGATCTCCTCGATGGTGTGCACGATGAAGGTGTCCTGCAGATCCTCCATGGCCCCCTCCATCCAGTTGTTGAAGGGTGCAGCCCGCTTGGCATACTCCAGGTACAGCTGGTCAATGGTCTCCAGCAGTTTCTCTGTCCGCTAGGAATGGCAGTTGAGGGGAGGGGGTGGATAGAAGGGTTGCAGCAGAGTCAGATCCAGAATCACCACTCCCTGCTCCCCCCACCCCTGAACCCCCAAGGTTCTCCTGGCCAGCCACAAGGGGTCCAAGTCTGGAAGCACCAGACTAAGTCAGACCGAAAAAATAGACTTTCTCTGGGACACTGCTTCTTAATGTGGGGTCTACAGACCATCCCACATTGGAATCACCCGGCCTGGCCCCCGGTCTGGTTTGTAGATAGGAAAATTCTCCAAGGGCTGGGGTTGGGCTGTGAAGTGCACTGAACGATGAGGGGGAGGTATGGTCAGGGCCACAAAGGAGGCGTCTCCATTAAGGCAAAGCCCAATCCAGCGCCAGGGTGAACCTTCAACAGGCCACACGGCAGGTCCAGGCAATGCAGTGGAACCTTCTGGCCCAAAGCAAAGAGGCACACAGAGCTGCCATCTCCCTCAGGGGCCCTCACCTCCAAAGCTTCCCTCCGCTTCTGGGTTAGGGCTCCCAGATTGTCCCACTGGTCACAGATCTTTTGGCACCGGGCGTTGACACTGGGTGAGTCGTAATAGTCCAGCTCACTGGAAGGGAAGAGACAGGAAGAGTCAGGTGACCCAGGTTACCTCCACGGCCTGCTCTCTTCTCCCTGGGGCTGGGGTGCGCTCCCTTTACCAAGACCTTCCATGTGTCCTCCCCCCCCAACTCCGTGGCTTTCAGAGGACCACTGGGAGATGAATGAAGGCCCGTTCTAAGGCCCCCCCTGCACCTGAGCTGGAGGCGATACAGTCTTGACCCCAATGTCCAATGGCAGGGAGTCACTGAGGCCCAGCGAGAGCTTAGAGTACACATGGTCATCCTCTGGTCCTGCACTACTTACAGGGAAGGACCAGAGGCCCTCCACGGGAAGGGTCACAGGCTCCTTCTCCACCTGGGGGATACTCAGAGTCCTCTGTATTGACGCCCTTCCCACTGGGGCACCGGCTGTACCCAGCCTCCTCACTTTTCACGGCCACGCCCCACTTCCCCCAGCAGCCCCAGCCCTCACTGGGCCTCGCATACTTGAGTTCCTGTGCGATGGCGGCAATTTGCTCCACGCGGTCCTGGTGGGCGGCGAGGTCACTCTCAAAGGCCTCATGCTTCTTGAGCAGGGCCTTGATCTCCGAGAGAGTGGCGGTCTCGTAATCCTTCTGCCGTAGCATAGCCTCTTTGCCTGGGTTCAAAGAGAGGGACACAAGGCTAAGCGGAAGCCAGGGGCCCCCATCTTCTTGGCCCCAACCATCCACCCCTTGGGACCCCAGGAGCCCCATTTCCGGGAGTACATCCCCAGAAGATGTCCACCAGATAGCTATCGATCATCTGCAGTTCGAGAAAGCAGATGTGCAACTGAACATCCCCTACGGGGCCAGGTAAGGGAAGTTACTACCTTCCATGGAACATGGTACATGTTCCATGGCCATGAGGAGCAGTTACGTACAAAGGCTGCGCAGGGCTATGCCCTATGGTATAACCAGGAAAAAACGAGCCAGGCACCTCAGGGGCACCCCATCTTTAGAGTTTCTCCAGCTATTGTTGCTAGCCCCCAGCAGCCCTGCAGGGACTCCTCCCCTGAATTAGTCTCAGTTTCTCAGCATGTCTAGTGCCCTCTGCAAATAATCCACCACTGGCCAGAATATTCCCTGTCAGGGATACTGCCCTCTCTTTAGGAGTGGGGCAGGGCTTGCATTTCTTGGATCCCTCTTTTCCAGGAGGAAATGGGATGAGAAATGAACCTCTTGGGGCTGTCACTACATGACGTCCACCAGCTGTCTCGTGAAACACCCAGTACCAGACTGGGGCTGCCCTGGCCTTGCCCACACGCCCACCTTCCACGTCTGTGTCCACCAGGGATGTTCTGCCCTGCTCAGCAAACGAAAGCTGGGCCGTGAGGCCGGAGACTGTGCCTCATGTGGCCCTCCTTCCCTTCCCTCTACTTCTCTTTCCTTTGTTTTTTTTGTTTTTTTTTTTTAAGATTTTATTTTTAAGTCATCTCTGCACCCAATGTGGGGCTCGAATTCAAGATTGTGAGATCAAGAGTCGCACGCTCCCCTGACTGAGCTAGCCAGGCACCCCTCCGCTTTCTTTTTCTTTAAGTCCAAATAATAATATGACAAGTTTAGGGGAAAAAATTACAGATGAGCCTACCTATCTACCCCTTTTCAGTCTTTCCTTATACGGAGGCTGTGGTAAGACCATAGGGTATATGTAAATTCTGTTTCCTGCTTTTCAAACATTCAGCAGTACACCATCAGAGTCTCTGCCTTGGCGCCAGCTTTGCCACGTGCCCCCTCCGGTGGCCAGCGTTCCATCACGTGGCCGAACCACCAGTGGTGTAACCACCTGCCGCCCTACCGTGTGGCATTCAGGGCCCTCGGCTTGTGCTATTATAGAGGGTCTCATGGCAACCATCCGCAGACGTGTGATTTCCCCACATTTAGGGTTAATTCTTTAGACAGTCTCAAGAATTCCTAGGTCAGCAGGCAAGAACACCGTTAGGTGGGGATGTGTGTCACCGGACTGCTTTGCCCAGGGGCTGCGCCCGCGTCTGCCGCCAGCGTGCTGGCACTTCTCATGTCCTTGCTGGCGGCTGGCCAGCTGATGGGGTCCCTGCTCTGTACCTTTCTGTGAGCGGTTCCTTGGCCCTGGAGAGGACACGATAGAAGCGCATGGGTGAACTGGTACAGTCTCCAGTATTCTGCACCATCTGTACCTACATAAAAAACTTCGTGCATGTGTGCGGGGGCGGGGGCGGGGGCAGCGACCTCACATCCTAGCGTTCTTACAACACGGAGCGAAACCCAACCTCCTCAGGCTGAGTCAAGCACACTCCCGTCTCCTACCAAGCCGGGCGGCCCCTGAGTGGCCACAGCGTACGGCTGTCCCTAATCGTCTCCAGCCTGAGATCGGAGGAGCCCAATGGAGCCCAATGGGGGAGTCTGGGGACATTGTGCCCCAGCAGCCAATAGGATCTGCCGCAGGGGCTCCAGCCGAAGTGGCTGCAGAACCCTAGGAGGTGGGTGGCGTGGATTCTTCTCCAGCCCTGGCCCAGGTTCTGAGGAAAAGACGATTCCACGTGTGATTCTCTCTCTTTGGAGTTAACTTCGGCCGTCAACAAGCAAACACCAGACATGGCCCCAAATGCCTCTGAGTTGGAGTAATGGAAACACACTTGTGCTAACAGGGAAAAGGCTCTAGGTCACTATAATTGGGGGCCAGAAGGCAGTGGAGGAAGAATATCCAGGGCTGCCATTTACTGAGTACATTCTACGTGCCATGCACTAATCTAAGCATAAAAGGTACTTGTGATACTTATGCCTACAACGATCCTACGAGGTGGTATGCTGAGTTGAACAGTGTCCCCCAAAACTCACGTCAACCCAGAACCTCAGAATCTGGGCTTATTTGAAAATAAAGTCTCAGGGCACCTGGGTGGCTCAGTCGGGTTAAGCGTCTGACTCTGGATTTCGGCTCAGGTCATGACCTCAATGTTTGTGAGTTTGAGCCCCACATCGGGCTCTGTGCTGAGAGTGTAGAGCCTGCCTGGGATTCTCTCTCTTCCTCTCTCTGTCCCTTCCCACCCCCCTCAAAAATAAATAAATAAGCATTAGAAAAAAAAAAAAGGAAAAAGAAAACAGGGTCTTTGTAGATGCAATTAGTTAAGATGAGGTCATGTGAGATTAGGGAGGCGAATAAATCCAATGACTGGTGTCTTTATTAGCAAAGGAAAGAGAAATTCTGTCACTGAGACGTAGAAGCAGCCATGTGGGGACGGAGACAGGGACTGAACTAAGTCAGTGACACCAAGGATGGCCAGCAACCCCAGACGCCAGGAAGCAGCACAGATGGCCTCCGGCTCAGAGCCTCCAGAAGGCATCAATTCTGCCGACGCTTTCCCTTAGAACCCCTCCTGACCTGTGAGAGAACACGTTTCTGTTAAGCCAGCCAGTGTGTGGTCATTTGTTCTGGTGGCCCTAGGAAGCTAACACAGGAGAGGACACACGATCATCTGCATGTTACAGAAGTTGCTGGTCCAAATGTACTCTGCTTCTAGGTGGTAGAGTCGGGATTCGAACCCCAACCTAACGGACTCAGGGAAGAAGAAATCATCACGGTGACAAGAACCATCAACAAATTACACATACACAGCATCGTACCATGCCAGGAACTCTTCTCGATGCTTCAGATGTAGTAATCCATCAAATTCTCATAAACCTATGAAGTTGATACTCTGATTATCCCCACTTTGCAGACGAGGAAACTGAGGCAACCAAAGGGCTGATGAACTTGTCTAACATCGAGCAACCAGTGAGACACAAGGCAGAACAAACCAAAGAGCAGGAGAGAAAGGAGTCGTGGCCTGGCAGTTCAGTCAGCGGAGCACGAGGGTCAGAACCCTCCAGGAGGCAGGAGGTCAGGCTGGCCTTACCGTCCGTCCAGGCCTCGTGGATGGAGGCTTTCTGCCGGAATTTCTCTGCCAGGTGGTCGAGCCGCTCCAGCCTCCGGATCTCGTTCAGCAGCCACTCCTCATAGCCCTTCTCTGCCTGCTCTAGGCAGCCCCAGGCATTGTTGATGTCCTGTAGGGATGAGAGGCATGGGGTCAGCCCCACCTGGCCCCCAAGACCCGCAGAGCTGCCCCAAGCCTTCTGGAAGAAGCCCCTTTCCCATCTCAGTTGTACCCACCCAGCCCTCTACTGGTGTTAACCTGGGCTTTTGGATACCAGGCCTCCCGGGCAGGGAGTGAGGCCCAAGTCCACGTGGGCCACCCAGCTATTGGGCTGTGGGTGTGCAGCCCTGTGAAGAGCCCAAGGCCCTCTGTGACCCAGGATTCTGGCCAATCAAAGAGGCTGGAGGGCCAGCCAGTGGAAAAGAACAATAACTGAATGAAGCAAGCAGGCATGGGAACCTCACGGCCTCCCCACATTTCTGGATCTGTTCATGGGCTCTGGGCAGTAGCCTGGAGCCTGCAGGGACCCTGGCCTGGGCGAGCTGGCCATGCACCTGAGGACAGTGACGGCTGCTGAGTACAACCCACAGCCCTTCAGGCAGGGAGCCACCCACCGGGTCGTCTCTACAATTAGTACAAGCGTGCCCGCTGGGCACATGTGGGCTGAAGCCAGCCTGCCCGCCACCTGGGGCCCAGGGGACAGGCCGCATCTACCCAGAGGGGGCACTTCTAACTCGCACAGAACACCCTCTGGTCAGCTGAGGCTCTGGCCACCTAAAAGCTGCAGATGCAGCCTGGAATCTATAAAAAGACTGCACTTTTCCAAAGTGCATACACAATGGAAAGGGCCTATTTCTTTCCTCCAGATTCCCTGGGATCCTGCCGGCTTCCAATGCTGTTTGCTGGCTTGGCCGTTCCCTGACCTTCCCTTTTATGTCCATGCCTTCTCATGATTTCTCATTTTGAAGGCCAAAAGCTCTATCTTGGTGGGTTTTTAAATTTTCTTTTGCATGTTTGTCTGTCTCATAACATTTCTCCCTGAGTCTGAGAGAGGGCAAGAAGGAAGGGGAAATAACATAAGTAACATAAATGAAGATAATTTAACAACTTGGAAAGCCATTCACAATATCATTTTAGTTGGGTTTTTAAAATATTTTTTAATGTTTTATTTACTTTTGTGAGAGAGAGGGAGAGAGAGAGAGAACACAAGTGGGGAGGGGCAGAGAAAGAGACACACACACACAATCTGAAGCAGGCTCCAGGCTCTGAGCTGTCAGCACAGAGCCCGACATGGGGCTTGAACTCGTGAACAGTGAGATCATGACCTGAGCTAAAGTTGGATGCTTAAGCTACTGAGCCACCCAGGCACCCCTTAGTTTTTTTTTTTTTTTTTTTTTTTTTTTTTTTTTTTTAAGCAGCTTATTAAGTAAAACATGCTTTAGAATTCCCTTAAAAATCATATTTACGTAGGGCGCCTGGGTGGCTCACTTCGTTAAGTGTCCAACTCCTTTTTTTTTTCCAAGTTTATTTTATTTCTTTTTGAGACAGAGACAGTGCAAGAAGGACAGAGGGAGAGGGAGAGAGAGAGAATCCCAAGCAGACTCCACACTGTCAGTGTGGAGCCAGATGCAGGGCTCGCAAACCATGAGATCATGACCTGAGCCGAAATCAAGAACTGGACAGTTAACTGACTGAGCCACCCAGGCGCCCCAAGTGTCTTCTGACTTCGGCTCAGGTCATGATCTCAAGGGATTTGTGAGATTAAGCCCCACATCCGCTCCGTGCTGATGACCCAGAGCCTGCTTGGGATTCTCCCTCCTCTCTTTCTCTGCCCCTCCCTCCACTTGTACTCTTTATCTCTCAAAATAAATACATTTAAAAAAAAATCCTATTTACATAGACTAAAAGAATCTTTTCCAAAAAACACTTTATTTCAAAAAACATTTTTAAGTTGATATTGGATAGTTACGATTATGAGTAATTTCTATTTTCTGTATTTAGCAGATTTGTATCTTTGAAATATCCTACCAAAAAAAAAAAAAAAAAAACCACCAACTCATTACTTGTTTAAGGTAACACATTTTTTTTTAAGTGCTTAAAAAAGATTTTACAGAGGGGCACCTGGGTGGCTCAGTTGGTTGAGAATCTGACTCTTGGTTTGGGCTCAGGTCATGATCCCAAGGTCGTGGGCTCAAGCCCCGGGTCAGCTTGGCACTTAAGAGTGGAGCCTGCTTATGATTCTTTCTCCCCTTGTCTCTCTCTCTGCCCCTCCCCTGCTCATGCTCACATCCCCTCTCTCTCTCTCTCAAATAAATAAAGTAATAAAATGTTTAAAAAAGTAAAAATCACCCTAATTGCTACTGAATTATGCCCTCTTTGGTTCAATATGTCAAGAAGCACTTAGTTTGCAGAGATGCTTTTCTAAGGTGGGGGGAGGGGGTGCTGGGAGGCCCAGGTGGATATTCAGGGGTCTGGCAGGACAGGTCTGACCTGGGATGGTCAGGAGACAGGGGGCTTGAGTCTGGGTGGCAATCTGGAAGGGAGAAACGATTTCTGGAACAGCGTATGCAGGTGGAAGGAAGCCTGTCCTGCCCTGTCCTGCCCTGTCCCGCCCACAGTGCCGCATTCGGCCGGGAGCAGCTCCAGCTTCCCGGCGCTCACCGAGACCATCCTGCCCTCGGAGGGCATGAAGGCGGGCCGGTTGCTGAGGCGCAGCTTGGTCTGCAGTGTGTTGAAGTTGATCTCCAGCTGGCACTTCTCCTGCACCTTGGGTGGCTTGTGCAGACGCCGGTAGTCCCGGAAGTCCTCCAGCTTCTGCTGCATGGCGTGCATGGTGTTCTCCGGCGCCCGGTTCTCCAGCCATGGGATGGTGCGGCGGATCCACTCCAGCAGCTGGGGGGAGGGGCACGCGGAGGGCGTGAGGATGCTGGGAGGGGGGCCCGGGGCTGCCTCCCTTCCCTCCTACGGCCTTTGGGCCCCTTCCCTGACAGGGGGAGCCGGGGGATGTCTCTCCTGACAGTATGTCCTGTCCCAGCTACCACTCCCCGGCAGTAGAGGCCAGGCTCCAGGAGAGTCACAGGCTTCATGCAGCCTGGCCACCAGCCTCTTCTCTGCCAGGGGAAGGAGTTAACTCAAGCTCTGCCCAAGGAAGAACCATGGACATGGTAGGAAGTCAGCCAGACCAGGAGACCCGAGCTCTGGGTCCAGCCCCACCAGCTGGCTGGGCCTCGGTGTCCTCTGTCCCGGGGAGGTAACAACCATAACAGCCGCTTCCTGAGGCCCTTGTCACCCGGGATCTAGAATTCTGGAATGTGGGCCTCTGACTCAAAAAGGAAGAGGCTGGCTTCTGGGGCACAGGCAGGGAACAGCCTGGATGAGGTGATGACAGTGGAGAAAGTGGAGGAGGAGTGGAATGGGTGACAGGAAACAGAACGAGCACCTGCAAGGTGCCAGCGTGTCCCCCAGACGGACTCATCGGAATGAGGATTGGGATCCCATGGGGTTCTGTGCTGTGACTCCTGCCCCAGGTTACAGAGAGGTAAACCGAGGCGCCGTGAGGTTATGTGACTTGCCAAGGTGACCAAGCTGGAATGGCAGAGCTGGGCTTACACCTGGCACCTGCGTTCTTACTATGCTGGGATGGCAGATCCATCAAGAGGCTGGGCTGAGCTGTTCAGAAGGCTGAATTCTTTTAAGCAAGTGGAGCCCTACCCCAAATATAGTCAACGGCAGAACAGCAAACCCAGCCCTGTCTCCTCCTGTCCCCTGGGTGGGCCCAGCTGCTTAGCGAGCCTGAGGCAGCACTGATCCCATCTCCAGATCACATCCTCTCAGAACCAGGCATACTGTTTTTCTAGGCCAAGTGACTCACAGAACAACAGTATACCAGGCTAGAAAGGCCCTTGAGATCCCTTGGCTTAGCTCTCACTCGGCAAGGGGAAAAAAACCCAAGACCCAGAGAGGTGAAAAGTTTCCCGGGCTCACTGTTTGTTGGCAAGAAACACAGCCTACGACTCGGCTTTCTGGAGCCTAGAGATGAGCCCCACCTCTGCCCTGGGTCAGCTGTGCCGGGACCAAGGACTACGCCCAGCCTGGGACTGTACCCCAGGGATGGGTCTGGAGGTACAGGCTCTGGGGGCTCCCTCTTCTCCCGGGGTGGGGTAGCAGAGCCCTGCCGGAGCCAGCTGGGGGAACTCAAGAGGTACCCACATCGCTGGCCAGCTTCTCATAGTCTTCCATAAGCTGCTCGTTCTCCTGGTTGACGGCCAACACCTTGCAGATGCGATTGGCTGCTGTCTCCGCCTGGCAACAAGAAAGGGCGTTGGGTGTCATGGTCAGCCCTGGGCAGCAGGAGCTCCCGCCCTGCAGCTCTACCGGCAGGAAGTCAGCCCCTGAGGCTTTCAGTCCACATCCTCCTCCTCATCCTCTGCCAGCCCATGCCGGGTCCCACAGGTCAAGTGAGCCCGAAGAGAGATCTTGGTGGCTGAACCGGGGCCCTTGGAGAAGGACCAGAGTTTGAGGCCAACCATGCACGTTGGGAAGTAACTAATGTGATGACTGATACAGTCAAAACGGTCAGCTCAGGTAAAGAGGGCGGAAAAATTCATGCCAAGCCTACAATCCCAAGTGGAGGCCCTGGGGTCCCCAAGGCTCAGGCTCTCAGGTTGGATTTGCCAGGATCTTAGGAGATGCAGGTATTCAAACCTGGGAGTCCAGAATAAGGTGCTGACTGAGAAACAAAGGGGCCTACAGAATCTGCTCCTGGCTCAAAGCCCAAAGAACATTAGAGAAGACTCAGGGACCCCTACTGCATGAAGGACAAGACTTCAGGATCAAGCCAGCATGCACAGAATGTCCAGAAAGCTGGGCACTGGCACCTCTGGGAAAGCGGAGGCCTCATGCTCAGTGAGTGCCGGGCAAACAGACACAGGACACAGGTTTTGGCAACAAGAGGACTGAAAGGAAATCAGATGCAAAGGCCCGGAAACTCCAGGGACACCACCTTCTTGGGCCATGGAAGGCACCGTGGACTTAACACCAGCAAGGGCCAGGTGGTCCTAAACCACCAGGAGCTCAGGTAACCTTTAAATTCATCTGTTTTCTTGTGTACATCATAACCCAACTCCAAGGGGAGGGGAACTCAAAGCCTTTTTGGGGTCTTGGGATAGAAAGACAGCCTGGGAGTAGGAGCAGATAATGCCTATTAGAGAAGGGTGAGCCTACAGATGACAAGGGTTTAGGGGATAGAAAGATGGGACCTCACAACTGGTTGATGAACAAGGCAAAATGGGTTTTGACTGCTGCAAGATAAACTGAGGCTAGGCATGAAGAAGAACTTCCTGAGAATGAGGGTGCTTTGAACTGAGAAGGAGTAATTAAAATGTAAATGTTTTTTCTTTGCAAAACTTTTCAAATAGGATACACAGCCACCAAATCCCGTGATTGGGAGTGGCTGCTGGGATAGGGGGGGCGTGCAGAATGAGGTCAGCATAAAGGTCTTTCCAAACTCAAAGTCAGGAGATCACACCCCCCGCCCCAGGCAAGGTGTTAGAGCAGGTAGGCCTCCACCAGGCAACTGGGAATGGCTAGAGGGCCTCCAAGATGGGCACTTTGAGTCTTGGGTCTCAAGAAACTGAGGCAAGGAGTCACATCCTTAGACCTTCACCCCCCTGCCCTCTGACCTAACTCTGCCCTGGAGATGCCACGACCATTTCTTCCATGGAGCTCTTGATTGATTGTCCTTCCTCTTAAGAACCAACAAGTAACCACAGGGAATACCAAAAGGTGACAAGGAGAGATATTCTTTCCTGGAGACTGTGCCAGAAGACGTGGGGCCCTTGGAAAGAGCAAGGTCATGGGAAACATGCCAATGTGCCCCATGAAGAGGGCTGGGGGTAGCAATCTGCCTGAAGCGACCAGGGCCACTTCCTGTGAAGGCCGGGGAAGGGGACACAGGGGCCAGTGGTCTCTGTGCTGACATAAGTAAGCTATGCCCAGCATGCTGACCAAGTGGGTAAGAATCAGAGGTGGCCACGCATCATAGGCAAGAAGCAGCTGCCACCGTGATGTCTCATGGATAAAGCCCTCCTTGGCCTCGTTACCCCGACGCATCTTGAAATCCTGGGCTCAGTGGTCATAAGCTTTGACTTGTGTGTCAGTCGGTCAAACTGGCAGACTGAGTGAGGCCTGCGTTCATGGGATTTTAGGAGATAATCCATTGAGCCTCAGGAGCCTCGCCCATCCGCAGAGCCTGTTGACGGACTGTTCTAGGATCAACAGAGGCTCCTTTTGGATGCCGTCTGGGGGACGTTCCCAAGTGGGCCACCTGGGGACTTTTTGCAGAGACCCACCTCTTTCCCAAGCTTGCGGCTCAGCCTGCCCCACTCCTAGGTGGCTTCACCAGCAGAGACTGAGAAAACCACTCATTATAACCAGGAAATCTGTTTTTGGAAAGAAAGCACGGGCATCATGGAACAAGAGAGCTTTCCTTAAGAGAGCTGTCTGCAAACTCCATCTGGATTGCCTCTGCCCTCGAGGGACAGCCCAGCTTCCACGGTTACCTTTAGGAAGGAAGCAGACTCCTGGAACCCAGATTTAACGTTAGGGGGAAAAAAAAAAAAGTAGAAACCTCAAGACCTTGACCCATCTCTTTCACTCACTGCTTAACTCCCTCCCCCAGGCTGGCAGTCTCACCCTTTACAAGGTTCCTTTACAAAGAAGGGTTCAGTCATCCACCACCACCAGCCCAGGAGGTCACAGAGACCACGCAGGAAAGACCAATGTGGTAAGGCCTGAAGGACATAATCCCTGGGGTGGAAGGCAAGCGGGACTCTTGAGCATGGGACCCAGGCTTACCCTAGCATCCCACTTTCTAGTTTTCTAGAAACTGTTTCTTCCGTGGCCACATGAACGCCATCACCATGAGGGATTTAGGAGAGAGGTACTTAGCACCACCAGCTCCTAAAGAGACTGCCAAAGGAGAGATTTGTTCTAGGGGAGGAAAGATTCATTCTCTGAGAGAAACAGAAATTGAAACGCCATCAGAAAAACAACCGTAGGAGAGTCCTGACCTCGGGCAGTTCCTGCAAGAGGAGATGGGCTGTTCCGGAACCCAAGAAGCAAAACCAGAGTGCCCAGGCCTTTCTGATGTTGGCAGAATTTGCACAAGGGGTGTAAGCGTAAATATCGTAAATGGGCTGAGAAAATATTTTGTAACACTAGGCAAAAGGATTACTTCTAAACACACACACACAAAAGGGAGACTTCTAGAAATCTGCATTTGCCTTCCCTTGGTTTATATTTTCATGACTTACTTTAAGTTATATTATTATACAGCTTAACACAGAACAATCTGTTTGGCTTTATATTAGTAGCTTTTTTTTTTAGGTTATGGACTCTTATTCCTGGAGTACTAATAACTTAGCTATCCCAACTGAAACTCTGCTATCCCAGAGCCACACTGCTGTGCTAACACGCAGCATCGAACTCGCTGGTACAAGGTAGTTAATTAAGGTAACATCTAACACCCAAATGTGGCCAAATGACGCACAATGGCTCTGCCACCCACAAGCCACAGATTCACATGAATGCCACAAAAATGTCATCTGTGACCTTTTTAGTCGAGAATTTCCCAAATCTATCTAGAATTGCCCATTTCCTTCCTCCCACAGCCTAGCCTCTCCCTGTGCCTAAGTCAGCACCCAGCCCCAGTACCCCTGCCAGCCAGGCCCGCAGGCAAAGCCTGCTCCCCGTCTCTGGCTCCCCCTGTGCTCCTCACCCCAGGCAGAGGACCAGGGCTAACTCGCTGTCCCCTCACAGGCTGACCTGTGACACCTCGAAGCTGTCACACAAGCTGTGACCGCCTTCCTGATCTTTGCCGCACTTTCACTTGAGGACCCCTACTCCACCCTTAAGACCCCCAAGACCAGGTGCCTCCTGTTCAAGAAAGCCTCCGTGTGGTGCAGCCCCGTGGCCCTCCCCCCCTGCCCGTCCCCTGCTCAGGCCCACAGCACAGCAGGCACTGACTAGACCGCAGCCATTGCTGGCTTCCAGGTTTCAGGGTTTCCCCAGATGGACCATAATCCTTCAAGGGCACAAATGGCTGTTTCCTTCCCTTAGGAGATTCACGATGTGACAAAAGCAAGCAAGGGGCCAAACGAAGAGATGCAAACGTCACCATCTACTCCTGAAAGCATCCAGAAACACCTGCAGCAGATCTAGCCTGTGCTTTAAATGGCTGTTTCTCCAACATTCCCAATAGACCGTGAACTTTAAGGCACAAACTACATAAACAAAAATCTGGTGCTTTCTGTTGATTCTGAATCGACGCGGGGGACGAGGAGGGCAAAGGAAAACTGAGAAAGAGTCAGAACCCAAACCAACATGTCAAACAGAAGTCGGTCCTCACCTGACAAGGAAAACCAACGACGCGCCCCTGTGTGGGTGCGTGGACGGCCACACGCGCGCGCACACGCATGCACACGCGTGTACACGTGTGCACGCGTGTGCATGCATGTGTATACCATCGTATGGTGCATGCATGTATTACTGAGCATGGGTTTCAGAATATGGCCCTCCACTGGCATCAGACACGGAGACAGTGAAGACACGAAGAGTGTGTGAGTCGGAATGAATCGTCCTTCTTCCAAGGAGAGGAGGAAGCTTCCCCTCCCCCTGGTCTCCTTGGCTCTAAGCAGTTGCCTGAATCCTTAGAAGTGGTTACGGGCAACTCTAGGAGAGGCCCCCGACCCAGGACATGAGGTGAACGCCACCGCCCCCCCCGCCCCCAGCCCCACACTGGTGACCTTGTCCTCGAATGTGGACAAAAGGAGTGTGAAATGGTTGCAACAAGGATGAGAGGGAGGGAAGAGGGGCGTGGGGAGAGGTGGTATGAGATCTGGGAGGGAGAAAAGCAGGCTGCTAATGCACACGCACATATGCACACGCACGTGCACACACTCTCGCACACGCACGCACACACTCCCGTCCGAGCATTATCATCAGCCAGGACACAGGGAAGGCCAGTGTCGGCAGGCATGAAGCCCAGCAGAGGACCCCTGGAGGGGCAGGGGACAGAGAGGAGGAGCTGGAAAACCCCAGAGCAGAGAGCAGTCTAGCTACAGAGGCGGGCAAGCAGGCCCTCTGTGGTTATCAGGGCTGGGGGGGGGGGCCCACCAAGGAAGGGGACAGATGCTGCTCACAACCTGGCTGACAGGTGGGGGCTCAGAGGGGCCAAAAGAAGTTGACGAGAGAGCAGCAGCAGAGGTGGGACAGAGGGAAACAGGAGGAAGCAAGAGGCAGGCCAGAGAGGAGGTTGGAGGGGGCTGGGGATCCTGGGAGGGCTAGGACACCTGTGAGTCACGGAAGCCTCCACGAGGGGCAGCTCTCCCGTCTCAGTGCCAGTGAGGCCTGCAAGGAAGGCGAGGAGGGTTCTGGTGCCCGTCCAGCCAGGGGACAGGGTTGCTACAAGCCCACGTGCCTCTGTGTAACTTTTTAAAGGCACCTCTTCCCAAGGCATTCCTATTGGAAAACTGTCATACTGATCTGTTAGAGAATATTGTTACTGCCATCTGCAGGATTCCTTCGGTAACAAATATCCAAATCTCCACGGTCTATGGTGCACACATGGCAGGCTTGTGGAGTGCGCAACCTGAACCACGTCCACGGCAGGCCTGGTTGGGAAGGGCTCTGAGCCTCTGGCCTGGACACCAGGGAGAAGGCAGGAAGGCTTCTCCCTGCCCTGTCTGCTGGGTAATTTGAAAGGATGGTTGTGACTGAGCGGGAAGGAGAGAAAATGAAGGGGTCCTGAATGTTTAAGGGAATAGTTAGGAAGCATAGCCCAGAGCCATATCGCTTGGGATAAGGGCTCTTGACTCAGGGTCCAGGGAAGGAGCTGAGACCACGAGCTTCTTTCCCATCTGTGACCTCCACTAAGCCCAGTGTGCATGGTCAGAGACACAAGGGGCCATCCAGAGGCTGGGGCTCTCTGGCGTCTTCAACCGGCCAAGGTTCAGAGAGCACCCTGCCCTCCTACAAGAGGAGGAGGGGCTGCAGCCCCACGGACTGCTGCCGGAGCATCCAGGGAGGAAGGAAGAGGTGGGCGGAGGGCGGCAGGGAGAGCGGGCGAGGCCGAGGGAGAGCTCACCTTCTGCGCACCCAAGAAGGCGTGGCAGTGACATGAAACATTAGGTCACATGGCCTTCCCATCCTTAGCGTGCCTACACATCTGCACAGAGAAGGAGAAGAGGTTGAGAGTAGAAAGGGAGCAGCAGCACAGAATAAACCCAAACAGCCGTGGCGGACAGGGAGAATGCAAGACAGACGCACAGACAGCAGATGAGGGAACGGGCAGAGAGAGACGAAATGAGATGGTGGGAGGAGAGAAGGGTGAGGAGGTGGAGGGCACAGGCTGAGACAGGAAAGGGAGAGAGAGAGCAGAGGGGAAGGCTGGGCAGAGGTGGGAGGGGGGAGCACCCCCATCATGCATTTGGAGACAGGTCACTGAGACTCCATGCGGAGGGTGGGAAATTGGCCTGAGCACATCCAACCTGATGTGACAGGTCCACGGCTCGACACCGTGAAGGCCCAGCCTGTGGTCCTGTCAACCTGCATGTTGTGTTTCCAGGGTCCTGCCTGTGAGTGGGGTCTGGGAGAGAGGCTTCTGCTGCCTGAGCTAAGCCTGGTAACAAAAATATCCAGCGCTCTTTAGTTGTGGTACCCTTGTGCAGTGTGCAACCCGCACAACTGGACTTTCAACTCAGGCCTCCCTGAGCAAAACTGGGCCGGGACATTTGAAGGGGGCTCACAGAGGCCCACTTCCTCCCATCCCCCTCCAAGGGGCTGTGCTTATGTCTGTAAATACAGCATGCAGAGTGACCCCACATGTGGGTCCCCGGCAGGATACAGAAGGCATCAGGGCCCGAAAAAAAAGCTGTGGACAGATTTGCTACATCATGCCCATGAGTGGGAGAAAGGTGGGGGCTTCACGACACCTTTGCAAAACAGGTCAGTGAGGACAGGAGATGCCTCCCTAAGGGAAGCCCGGCTGCTGTGTTAAAAAGCCTGTGGCTTCAACAAAGGTGGGCGCGGAGGGACTGCTGCCTACTGCAGCTTCCAGGAGTCCAGAACCCCCAGGCTGATTCCACACATGCAGCTCTTCCTGCTCAAGCCAGCCCTCTGGGCCCCAGAAGGCGAGCTCGAGCCCAGTCCTCTCAGAGACTGCAGGGGAAGAGGAGAAGAGGAACAGAGGGGCAGGGCGGGAGAGGAGCCGAGCGAGAGCAGCACGCCGCGTTGGCACCGGGAGCTAACTCTACCAGAGAGACGCGCCATCCAGACCCTGCTGCCAGGGAGAGGCGGCGGGGGCGGGGGCGCATGGTTTGGGTCCCGGCCCGAGGTGTGCTGCACAAGGAAGGAGGGGAAGGGGGGGCGGGTACCTTCTGGGCTCCGGAGAAGGCATGGTAGAAGCTGGACACGTAAGTCATGATGGCCTTCTCATCCGGTCGGGCGGTTCCGACGATGTCTGTCAAGAAAAATCTGGAGTTAAGAGCCAGCTGGCGAACACATGATGCACTTCCTGATGTGATGCGGAAAGAAGCTTGCAGAATCACCAAGTCTTCTGGGCCACAGGCTGAGCCTGAATCTCACCAGCTTCTGGGCTCAGCTTCTTTCCGCTTACAGGAACATGAGAGGTAGAGGGAGGAGAGAAACAGTGACCCAAGGAAGCAAACAACAAACCCAGAATGAGGAACATTCCATGAGCAGCTGGTCCCGTCTGTGCAACAAGTTTCACGGCAGGAATAAAAAAGGGATGAAGGAAGGAGGGAAGTACTACAGATTGGAAAAGACATAAGAAATAGAACTAAACGCCATGTGCAGACCTTATCTGGATCCTGGTTAAAACAAACCAACTCAAGGGGCACCTGGGTGGCTCAGTCAGTTAAGCGTCCGACTTTGGCTCAGGTCATGATCTCACGGTCCGTGAGTTTGAGCCCTGCATCTGGCTCCGTGCTGACAGTGTGGAGCCTGCTTCGAATTCTCTCTCTCTCCCTCTCTCTCTGTCCCTCTTGCACTCTCTCTCTCTCAAAATAAATAAAATAAACTTGAAATTAAAAAAAGGAGTTGGACACTTAACCAACTGAGCCACCCAGGTGCCCTACATAAATATGATTTTTAAGGGAATTCTAAAGTATCTTTTTTTTTAAATGCTGCTTAAAAAAAAAAAAACAAAAAAAAAAACTAAGGGGTGCCCGGGTGGCTCAGTACCTTAAGCATCTGACTTTAGCTCAGGTCATGATCTCACTGTTCAGGAGTTCGAGCCCCATGTCGGGCTCTGTGCTGATAGCTCAGAGCTTGGAGCCTGCTTCAGATTCTGTGTCTCCCTCTCTCGCTGCCCTGCTTGTGCTGTGTCTCTCTCTCTCTCTCTCAAAAATTAAAAAAAATAAAAATAAAAAACAAAATAATAAAACTCTAAAAAGAAACAATTGGGGAAATTTGACTTTGAATTAGGCAGTCAATATAGCAAGGATTTACAGTCGCCTTCCTAGGCATGACATTTGTTTTATGGTTACGTAAGAATATTTTTAAGGTATGTGGTGGTGAAATGCTGTGATGTCTGGGATTTATTTGATAATATTCCAATGAAGAAAACAAAAGGGAAAAAAAGTGACAAAATCTAATTGTTTTATCTATATGCTGGGTAAATGGAAGTTCCTACTCTATCCCCCTGCTTTTGCATATATTTGAAAATGGCCCCAGACACACATTGTCACAAACTATCACCTCTCCCTCCCATTCTCCTAAGGGCCCATTCATCTTTCTAAAAAGTCACTTGTTTTCCTATAAATGCCAGTTGTCCCCTCCATTTCCCCCATAAGTTGGGTATGGATATAGACCCCAAACTCCTAACCACCCCATGAAGGACTCATCACCGAGAGCTCTCATGTGTGTACACACGATGCACTTGTTAAGAGACCTCTGTTTGCTTTTCTCCTGTTAATATGTCTTTTGCCAGTCTAATGTGCAGGATCCCAGCTGGGCAGCCTAAGAGGGTAAGGGGAGAGATTTTTTCCCTTGGCTACAACAACAGAGGAACGCGGTGCCCCACCCCAGCACCCTCTACCTCAACTCCAAGACAGAGATGAGAACCATCTTTAGGCAGCTGATGCAGAAACGGCCTCAAAGCCCTTCTCAGCACCAGCTAGCCTCCCCTCCAAACCCCAGGGAACCGAGGAATCCCTGGCGGCAGGTGACCCCCAGGCTCCCCAGATGAGGTCCAGAGACCAGACCTCTTCTCTCCCCACCTCGGGCTGCCGGGCCCCACCCTTCCCGGGTGAGAAAAGGGCCAGAGGCACAGACAGAGACGCATTTTACCTTCAGCATCCAGCATCTTGGGGATGTCTAGGTACTTCTCTGCCACATCAAAGGCTGTGTTCAGATTTGTGAGTGGGTCATCCTAGAGGGAGACGAGGACGAAGGCATGTGAGAGGCCCAAGAAGTCACTGGTCACCCCCATGCAGGTGACCAAAGACTGGGGGGCAGAGGGGACTTCTGCAGTCCTCTCTCCCCCAAGGTGTGGTCCTCAAGGTCCAGCTCTGTGTGTACAAGGCTCGCTTCACCTCCAGGGCTTGTTGTGTGGGCGGTTAAAATGCCATCTTTCCCCGTCAAGCCTCAGTTTGCCAGAAACGGGATGGAGAGGGGCGCCTGGGTGGCTCAGTCGGTTGAGCGTCCGACTTCAGCTCAGGTCACGATCTCGCGGTTCGTGAGTTCGAGCCCCGCGTCAGGCTCTGGGCTGATGGCCCAGAGCCTGGAGCCTGCTTCCGATTCTGTGTCTCCCTCTCTCTCTGCCCCTCCCCCATTCATGCTCTGTCTCTCTCTGTCTCAAAAATAAATAAACATTAAAAAAAAAAATTTAAAAAAAGAAACGGGATGGAGAATACTGGCCTACAGCCCAAGAAAGAACTGCTAGGAACTACACGCTGCGAGCAGAGTGCTGGCCTGGGCATCGTCCTTCTTGGCTCCTGGCTTCAGTTCTGCCACCAGCTGGCGGGACTGGTACGTAACCCGACCTCAGCTTCCCCAGCTGTTTTTCAAGAGTTGGACTAGGCTCCCTCAAGCCCCTCCGGTGCTCACATTCCACAAAATCTGAGGGCACCTTCGCACAGCCACAACCTTTGACTATTCTGGCTTCTGCCGCCACATCCAGAAAACTGACTGGGGACTGGCGAGGACGTGGAGAAATCAGAATCCGTGGGCACTGCTGGTGGGAATATATAATGGTGCGGCCCCTGTGGAACACAGTGTCCTCCAGAAGTGAAGCACAGGGATCCTTGTAACCCAGCAGGCCCACTTCTGGGCATATCTCCCGAAGAATTGAAAGCGGGGACTCAAGCAGATGTGCGTGCCCCCGGATTCACAGCAGCATTATTCATAAGAGCTAAACAGTGGAAATAACACAAAAGCCCACTGGCACATGAAGAGATAAACCAACTGTGCGATCCATACAATGGACTATTACTCCGCCTGAAAAAGGAAGGAAGGAAGTTCTGACACACGGCACAAGCAGGGTGAACCTTGAACACATCGCGCGAAGTGAAATGAGCCAGACACAAATATCGTACGATGCCACTTACACGAGGCATCTAGAGTCAGATTCATAGAGTCAGAAGGTAGAGGCTGGGGGAGGGGGAGGGGAGAGTGATGGTTTAGCGGGTTCCGAGCTGGAGTTGTGCAAGATGGAGAGAGCCCTGGAGGCAGAGAGTGATGGTGGCACAGTCAGGTGAATGCACTGTCACCACCCCATACGCCTCGACTCAGTTAAAGCTTTTAGATTATACGTGTTCTGCGTTTTTACGTATGTTACGTTTTATGTTATATACGTTTTACCACAATTAAAATAATTTTTTTTTTTTGACGTGGGAAAACACACAACCCAGTGATGGGAGCTCCTTGCTGACCCTCCCCCCTCCATGTCTCGGTGCCCCCTGGTTTTGTCAGCCTGGGACCCCGTTTCCCCATTTGCTACGATGAAAATCACAAAGTTACAAAGAAATCAATACATTCACTCCGGATACTTTCAGGAAGAAACTGCTTAAAATAGAGAAGGTGGAGTCCTTCTGGGAAAGCTTCTGACAGCTTCCAGAATGATTTAAAAACCACTGCCAAGCAGTGAAAGTCACTTCCGTCCAGGGCCTCAAGCAGTCCTGCACACTCGCCTGCCCCACTCGATTCCCAGGGACCGCCAGGCCCCCGTGCCCACCTAAGGCCACAGCAGGAAGAGCTTCCCAGTCAAGAGCCCATGGCTCTCCCCTGTGTCCCAATGCCAGCTGGCTCTGGCAACCTGTGCTTTCTGGAAAGCACCCACACTTCAGTGGGAGCAGGTCTGTGCTAGGATTTGGGCTGGATTTTACTGATGCTGCTGAATTAAGGAGAGGGGAGACACAGTGAAACGGGGAAAAAAGAAAAGACACAAGGGGGTGGGTGGCTGGTTAGGTATCAGACCAAGGCCCCTAGACCCTCACCTCCGGAATGGCTGAGGCTCCTGGAGTCTGTGGAATGGGGGAAGGGACTATAGTCACAGCCAGCAGGACCCCACTTTGTATGGGGTGGCCAACAGCTCTGGATTAAGTGGCTGTCACCCCACACACCGCCATAGGGATACATGCACGCTTGTCACCAAAGCACATCAGGCAAACAGTAAGGAGGTATGTGATGATGCCTCTTAAAAATATTTTTTTTAACGTTCATTCACTAAGAGACAGAGATAGAGCACGAGTGGGGGTGGGGCAGAGAAAGAGAGAGAGAGAGAGAGAGAGGCACAGAGCCCAATGTGGAGCTCGAGCTCACCAACTGTGAGATGATGACCTGAGCCAAAGTTGGACGCTTAACCGACTGAACCACCCAGGCGCCCCAGTACGTGAGCGTGCCACTTAAAGCAAAAAATCACTGCTTCTAGGGTTTCTCGCCTCAGCTCTATTTGATGTGGCCACACAGCGTTCAGGTAAGTTAGGGGGTTCTCAACCTGATTTTCTTCCTTGCAAGGCAGCTGACTTAGAGTGCAGGGACCCTCCTACCCATTAAGAGGGTAGCTGTCCAAAGCCACGTGCAAGAGCGGGGAGGCTTTCTCTCCTTCAGCGGGTGGGCCAAGGGCCCAGCCTCAGGCTTTGGCCCGACTTAGAGAAACTGGAGGGGGTGGGAGTCTGCTCCTTTCCTCCCCGACACCCTGGAAACGGAGGGCTTGACACCATCCTGGAGTTCCCAGAGCAGCTCCCGTACCGGCAACATCCAGCCTTACTTCTGGGGGCACAGGCCAGATGGGGGTCTTCACGGAACACTGTGCTCTCCAAGTGTCAAGGTCAAGTGGAGAAATACAAGAAGAGCCATTCCTAGCAGCTGCCTTGTCAAGACATTCACACACATGGACAGGTGACATTCCAACCCAAGGTCTAGATCATCAACTGGGGGTGTGGGGAGGGCTCCAGGGGTGGCCTCTTGGTGCTGGGATGGGCTGAGAGGGAAGCTGGTGAGTGAGGTCAGAGTGGTCCCAGACAGGCCTCTCCAAGGTCTTGGCCAGCCCAGACACCAGAACCACCTCGAGGTTAGAAACACAGCTCCCACGCCCTGGTCTGCTCCACAACACATACGTGTGCTCAGGAAAATCCTCCAGCTTCATGTCAAGACCCTAAGTGAAATCAAGAAGCAGCTAAAGAAAATCCCCCACCCATGGGGCACCTGGGTGGCTCAGCCGGTTGAGTGTCCAACTCTTGGTTTCGGCTCAGATCATGATCTCATAGTTCGTGGGTTCAAGTCCCGAGTCAGGCTCTGCACTGTCAGTGCAGAGGGATTCTCTCTCTCTCTCTCTTTCTCTGCCCTTCCCCTGCTCGTGCTCTCTCTCTTTCTCTCAAAATAAATAGAGTTTAAAAAGAAAGAAAAAAGAAAATCGCCCAGCCAACCGTCAACAGTGACAGGAACCTGCGGGGACCGTCCAACAGCAACTCTTGGACACAGACGGGGGTAAATGCCTCTAAGAATATGCAAACAGATTAAATTTAAAATATTATATCCACTTTACAAAACCCAGAAAATAGAAGGGGGAGATGCTGATTAGTGTTTCAATACCCCAACAAGAGGCTGCAGGGGTTCGGACATTCTGTGAGCTGTTCGGGTCAGCAAGTACATGCGTGCTGTGCACAGAGGGTACCCCAGCGGCCCTCACAGTGAAGGTGTTTTTCTCTTTCCCTTGTAGGCTATCTCCTGGACTAGTCTAAGGAGACCAACCCCCCCCTCCTCCACCTTACCATGGCCATGGACCCTCAGAATAAGGGCCCAGTCCTGCACTTCACCCCCACCTTCTGTCAGGGACCCAGCAAGAGGGCTCTGGCAGCGAGAAGTCAGGGAAGCACACATACCTTCCGCAGCTTCCCATAGTCAATCAGCTCAGGCCGGTGTCGGTGGATCAAGGCACAGAAGCCGAGGCCGTCCTTCCAGCTGCCCAAGGGAGAGAGAAGGGTGGGGGGGCAAGCTGGTGAATAGGGCCGGGCTCTAAGGGTAAAGCTCTAAGCAAGGATGGCGGGGGGTCCCCCCCTTTGTACCAGAGGTGAACCCACAGTGCTTCGGAGCAGGAGTGAGAAGACAGGATGGGAAGGCACACTCCTTCTGGCAACAATCCCAGGCTCTGGGGTCAAGATTCTATGGGGCACAGGACGTTTGCACACCTGTCATATCCAACTATCCTCTCCGCCAAGATCTTTGTCCCTCCTGCTCTGTTCCAGTGCCCTAGGCTGGAACCTACAGGACACGCTCCTTGGGGAGCTCTCCAGCAGCTGGGGCGTCGACCCAAAGTGCGTAGAAGCCGCCACATCAAAGGGTTTGCGGCACACCCTGAGATAGCAGCTTCTTCCCCAAGGACCCCTGCTCTGTTCTGCAGCTGAGGCTAACCCAGCCAAAGGGGCCTGGGGGAGCAGCTGATGCTCTGCAAGAGCCCCTCCGCCCCTGGCCACTCACCTTATGTGGAAGTTCTGGATGTTGACGTTTTTGTAAGGGGCCGTCTTTCTCTGACACCACAAGAGCAGCCCCTCCTTCGCGGAAGTCTCTGTGAGGAGGGAGATGAAGGACAGAGAGGTCAGCGGGCTGGCTTGGTGGAGGGAGGGGTGTTGGTTCATGGGGAGGCCCCACCATGACCCCAGGGTCCGTACAAAGACCCCCTAGATGGCAACCCTACTGCTTCCAGGCCATCAAGTCTATTTCCTTGACAAAGTCTGAGTAGCTATTTGAGAAACAAAGAAGCAAACTAGGCAGCTTTTCAGGGCTGGCCATGTTTACACATTTAAACACTGAGACAATGACCTTTCAAACTTTCAGGTCTCCCCCATCACTCCCTGTTATTCAAAGACATGGGAGCATTACAAAATCAATCAGCAAGCTGTATCAGGTCTATGTTTGATTGGTCTATGAAATCTGAAGTCCCAGAATCTCCAGACAGGGGTACATAGTACATAGGCCATGCAGAGTGCACACAGCTATACGGGGCAAAAGCATTAGGGTCATCTAAAACATTAAGTTGCCTTGTATTTAATGAACCACTGTTGCACGTGTGAAGCAGACAGGTGCCTGTAAGATAAAGCAGGCAGGTATCTGAGGGGACCCCAGGAGCTCCCAACACAGAAGGGCTGCAAACGACACTGCCCCCACGTGTTCACATCTGTGAATTGCAGATACGGCACCCAGCAAAGAGGGTTCATGGATGATCTCCTTTCCTTTCAATTCACAAAATGGACTTTAAAATGACATTAAATGACTCCTGCAAAGATAATATTTCAAGCACAAGCAAACAATTAAAAAATCAGCAAAGCTAATGCTTCTACTCAGCTCCAGCTTTTCATCAGCTATATTACAAGATTAAAACAACGACAATTTAACCAGAGCCGACAAGGTCAGCCCCAAAGAATTAAACTAATCAGGGCGCCTGGATGGCTCAGTCAGTAAAGCATCCGACTTTCGCTCAGGTCATGCATGGTCTCGTGGTTTATGAGTTTGAGCCCCGCGTCAGGGTCTTTGTTGACAGCTCAGAGCCTGGAGCCTGCTTCAGATGCTGTGTCTTCCTCTCTCTCTGCCCCTCCCCTACTCATGCTATGTCTCTATCTCAAAAATAAATAAATACTTAAAAAAAATCAAACTTATCAAGAAGGCAACTTGAAAATGGATTTATATCCATCATTACTAAAAAGAACCATGTTCAAAGTGACTATTGTGGACACATTTTTAACCACTTCAGCCCTAAATACCAAGTATCTATAAATAAAACTTAGACCTTCACATGGCTGTATCATCATGTGTCAAACCAAGATTTCTATAAGCAAACAATTTAATCTGCATTATTCTCATTAAAAAAATTACTTTGAATAAAAGTCTTTATAAGATTCCTGGGCCATAGAGGCACCTGGGTGGCTCAGTTGGTTAAGCATCCAACTTGTGGTCTTGGCTCAGGTCATGATCTCACAGTTCGTGGGTTTGAGCCCCACAATGGGCTCTGTGCTGTGAGTGTGGAGCCTTCTTGGGATTCTCTCTCTCTCTCCCTCCCTCTCTACTCTTCCCCTGCTTGTGATCTCTCTCTCAAAAATAAATAAAGATTAAAAAAAAAAAAGATTCCTGGCTGATAAAATGAATTTAAATTATAAATTTTAAAGTGTATTTTTTTAGTGATCTCTACACCCAATGTGGGGCTCAAACTCACATGTTTTGAGTTTGATAAGAGTCACATGTTCCAATGACTGAGCCAGCCAGGCGCCCCATGAATAAAAAATATTTAAAAAATATTATCTCCGTGTCATCTTTTTGAAATTTGTTTTGGTATAGGTTTCATAATATGAATTCCAATACACAAATATAACTTATTACAAAATGAATACACGCATATCAGATATAAAGCTCAGAAACTGCTGGAGTGTGGAACCAAAAGTTCAGAGATCCCAGCCCCAAACTATGGTGGCCTCTTAAAGATCTGCGAAGTGGCCACCAGAGGGTGCTGTGGGAGCAAAGTGGAGGACCTGGGGTCAACTCAGAATCCCAAGACACTCCCTCCAGGCTGCTATCTCCCTACCTTTTTGGATTTAACAGCCCACAAACCAGGTGGGGTTTCCAGTTCCCCAGAGTAACCTCAGGCAGGCTTAGCGTCAGGGGGATTCCCCAGGGGCCAACATACCAGTGGAAACCAGAACCCCAATCAGTTCTTACTTCTCTACAGACTAGGAGGGAGGGCAGATAACAGCAAAGGGTCAGAAGCCCAAGATGTGGCCCATGATTAAGCCCCCATTGTCAGGGGTCAGGGAGTTCTCCAGGCTGAGTCCAGGAAAGAAGATGTGATGGCAAGGGCAGGGGAGTGGAGGGGGCTCAGGGACTAATGGAACAGAGCAGAAGACCCACCTTCCACAGAGATGTCCTGGATGGCGAAGCGGAGGATGATGGTCCAGATCATGCCCAGGGTCATTTTCACGTTCCCATCCACGATTTCTACAGAAATGGCATCAGGACATGTTAGGATGGCTCTTGGCAGGGACAGAGTTAAAATTCCCGGAGTGCCCACATCCATGGGTGTACCATGTAGTAAATCAAGGACCACACAGCTCCACTTCTAGGGAAAAGGGTATGGGTTTTTAAAGTACAACCAGGTACCACAGGTGACAGGAGAGAAATCTATTTGGAGGTGACCCTGAGCACAAGGCAGGTGTGATCAATTCCAATGGGGTACATTTGGGAAGGCAAGAGAGAAGGGGGTGTCTTCACCAGCCTGGCAGAGAAAAAGGAGATGTTTCTAAATCATCGCAAATGTTCTGGCAATTCTGTGAGTCAGGGAAGTCTGGGTGATCACAGCTCTCAAAATAGCCACCCACACCCAAAAAGCCAGTGTCCACATCAGAAGGTAATCAACCCAGCAAACATAGATCCCTAACCCTCACCTGCTTCCAGACCAGGAGACAGTAACCCGGCCCCACGGCAAGGTACTCTCAGCTAAGAGTTTGGCATCCAAAGAATATCTTTTTTTTTTTTTTTTTTCCAACCTGAAAAGCTAACTGTAGGACAAACCTACCAGAACCATGAGAAGGAGTAAGTTCCAGGAACTCCTGATATCCTGAGCCCATGTCCACTAGGGTCTGCTTCCCACAAACCCCTTAAACAAGAGTAGATTCCATTAAGGAGATGACATTCTAAGATTCTAACATCTTATCCCCTCCAAAGTGAGGGCAAAACTGCATGCTGCCATGTGACCAAGAAGGTACAGAGCAGTGTTGCTGCTTCCTGGCGGGGGGCGGGGGGTGGGGGGTAACTCTGTGGAGCCTGCATGGGGGGTGGGGTCTAGAAGGAACAGTGTCCACATCGGACAGGGGACAGGATGTAACCCTTCCTGCTAACGACGGCCTTAAATGCCCTTCCCAGAGCCCCAGATACCCGCAGGACACAGACCCGAGTCAGAGGACCTGCGTTAGAGACAGACAACTGAGTAGGAGACCACCATCTTCTTTAACAGGTAAGAGAGCCAGCCAGCTCTTTGCAGAGCATGCTGGGGGGAAGTAGAGGCAGTTAATCAGTCAGGAGTCAGTTCATAAAGATTTGGTTTTTTAAAAATGCCTTTTCACTAGTGACTTCCGATGGTTTCGTATCTGTAACGTTTAAAGAGTTTATACAGGGAGAGCACCTGGGTGGCTCCGTCAGTTGAACGTCCGACTTTGGCTCAGGTCATGATCTCCCGGTTTGTGAGTTCGAGCCCCACATCAGGCTCTCTGCTGACAGCACGGAGCCCACTTTGGAGCCTCTGTCTCCCTCTCTCTCTGCCCATCCCCTGCTTGCGCTATCTCAAAAATAAATAAAACATTACAAATAAGTTAAAAAATTTTTTTAATTTAAAAAATAAAAGAGTTTATATAAATTGACAAGAAAAAAAATCTAAATTCACAATAGGCAAAAAACATGAATAAATACTTCACAAAATATGAAATATAACCAATTTATAACCATGTTCCTTCTCCCTGTAAATAAAGAGATAACATTTTCCCAGCTACTAAATTAGCAAAGTTAAAAAACAAGGAACACACACCATGATGGTAACAAGGCTACCACACTGTGGCTAGAAGTATAAACTGGTTGAAAAAAACACTTTCTGGGAAATAATTTGGCAACAGGATCAAGCACCTTGAAGTTGTTCGACTTTTTCACAGTGAAATCCACCTCTAGGAATCTGTCCCTAGACAATGATCTGAAATGCAGAGTAAGGTTACTGCATAAAGGAGTTTGTCGTAGGGTCATTTATCATGGCCCCAAGTTGGAAACTTCAAGAATATACCAAGTTCGAGGTGTGACTGAGTAAATCCCCAGCCCCTGGCACCCCCATGCTCAGAACCTCCATAGCTTCCCACCTTACTCGGAGTCAAAGCCAGTGGCCAGTGAGGTCCTCACGGTCCCCCCATCTCCTCCAGTCACATGGCCCCCATGTGACTTGTCCCTCACCTCCCTCCCATCCCCACTGCATCTTCTCCTAGAAACCTCCCACCTTACTCCCTGCTTGGTTTTTCCCCTTCTGACGCAAGTATGTGTGTATTTTCTCTGTTCCCCTTCCAGAACATAAGCTCCAAGGGGGGAGCAATTTTTCTGTTTTGCATCGCTGCTTAGAGCCCAGCACGGTGCCTGGCACAGAGAAAGCCCTCCATCAACATTTGCTGAATGAATGAATGAGTGAATGAATGAATGAATGAATGAATACTGGAAGTCACTACACACATGTGGGTGAATGGGTGGCAGTCACCCAGGCCTGGGGTTGGGAGAACATAACCGCACTCAAGCTCCTCCAGGGCAGGACCCAGGTCTGGGACAGAGCACAGCTGGGCTCAACAATTAACACAGCCACTAAATATTACATTCATGACTTTTTAATGACTTGGAGAAATCTTTGTAATATGGAAAGTGGAAAAAGCAAGTATGAAATTTCAGGGACGGTGTTTCAAACACAGGGGGCATTTTTTTAAAGCCTAGAAGAGGCTCCGGTGGTAACAGGGCCACGTGACCTTCCCATCGGAGGAGAGGCCGCTACATGGGTTCCCGCCTCTGCCCCAACCGTGAAGGCCAAACACCCGTGCCTCCTGCTGGCCCGGAGCTCAGCACCCTCCCAGCACTAAGGGAGACAAGCTCAGGGAGACAGAGTGCCTTCTTTCTTGGGTTTTGCCTGCTTACTCCTCTCCCTCCTTCCCCTAGAAACCCCCAGGGAGTTTTGCTCCCTGAATTCTCACTCATACCTGATCCTCCGGGAAAGAGGAGAGCCAAGTACAGGCAAGAAGCGGGGAGGGGTGTTAACACCCCATGCACCACCCCAGCCTCAGGGCCCACTGGCTCCCTGTTCCACCCCCAGAGAACAGCCCTCCCCAGAGGAGCCCCAGAACAAACCCTTTTCCCAGGCATCTGTATGTTTGGAGCAGGGACACCCCATCTCACCAGCAGCTTTACATCAGGGGGCTACCACGCATGCTGGGTCCAAAAGGAGGGTCCCAAGGCCACCAGTGGGCCCTGTGGACAAAACCACAATGACAGACTACAATGTGTGCCACGGGTGTGGGAAGAAGCGGCATGTTTCTGAATTTCTGGTCTACGGCCAGCCAAGGAGCTGCTCGCTTCCTGCATTTAACCCCTGCCCCCACTCCAGGGATGCGGTCGCCTGCACACGATTCAGAGGGCAGAATGAAGACGTTCCACCTGACAGAAACTAGACCTGGATATCACCACCTCCCAGACCGATGCTTTAGTTATTGCACCCACTACCCCCTCCACCCCGAGGACACGTGAGAAATCATCACGAGCACCGCCAAGCTCTTGGCCTCCAAAGCCATCAAGCTTTCCCTGCCCAAAGATCTTAACATAAATCCTCCCGGGTCCTCTCACCTGCTTAAATCCCAACCACTCACCTAGGACAAGCCTCAACTCTATGAAGTCTGGACACTAAACCAAGTCTGGTAAAGGAAACCGTGAGGACCTATCCTAATCCCTCCGGGATGTACGGAAGTTCCCTGCCTTCGGCCTCCATCTGAACACCTTCAGGGACAGGGGCCATATGCCCCCCACCCCCGCCGGGGAGCACCCATTCCATTCCCGTGGGTTCTGCCCATCATGCAGAATCAGCCTGCCCAGGGGGGCTCCCGGGCCTGGTTCTGCCCTTCAGGGCTTGGCCGGAGTCTAGTCCTTGCACCACATGATAGTTCTTTAAAGGTCTTGCCCACGCCAGGCCTGCTCCCCTCGGCCCAGAATGGCTCCTCAGGGCAACCAGCAACACCTCCCCCCACCCCAGCCCAGCCCCCAGGAGAGCTCATTCTGGGTGATCTGCTCCACCGCGTTTTGTTATATAGTCTACAGCGGTAAACTTCATTTCATTAAAATAAACAAAGCCCACATGTGGCCTCGTCCAGTGTCCTGGCACAGCAGGGCAGCCATCACAGCATGATCTCAGTGCTCACCGTGAAACGGGAGAGAGGATTTCAAAGCGGAAGGCTCAGCCTGAAGCCCTGACTCCTGCAGGCAGAGAGAAGGTAAGGATGATCTCATTTTAAAGGACCCTTTAAAAATCTTTAGAGGAGGGGTGCCTGGGTGGCTCAGTCAGTTAAGTGTCCAACTTCCAGCCTGGGTCATGATCTCATGGTTCACAGGTTCGAGCCCAGCATCTTATTCCAGATGGCTGATGGCATGGAGCCTACTTGAAATTCTCTCTCTCCCTCTCTCTGCCCCTCCCCTGCTCGGGTGTGCTCTCTCTCAAATAAATAAACTTTAAAAAATAATAATAAAAATCTTTAGAGGAGTGAGCCCATGTGAAAAAAATTGGAAACTGTGGCCAGCTTGGTTAACAGACTTCTGGGAAGGCCAGAGGTGCTGGGTGGAGTTTGAGCCAGTGTCTGTCTTTGCTCTTCACCCCCTGCTGGGGGGAGCACAGCCAACCTGGCCCGCCACTTGGTCGCTGATGGGACAGTCCTATCCTTGGCCCCCGCATGGGACTCCAACGGTGTCCGGAGTGACAGGAAGAAGTTCAGACCTCAGCTCTGGAGCCCAAACCCGTGGGTTCAAAACCCTAGCAACGTTTGTAAGCTTCTGTTGCCTTGACTGTAAAATGTGGCCAGTGATACCCACCCTACAGGCCTGCCCTCAGGTCAAAGGGGATATCCCATGCAAAGCATCCTGTCCAACCAGGCAAAAAGCCAGAACCAAGCGCTATTCCCTCCCATCTGCCCTTTCCCTCCTCCCCTTTGGACTTCAGAGTTTAAAAAAAAAACAAAACAAACTTTTTTTGTTGTTGTTAGATAGCTATTAAATTTTTCTTTCTAAAAATCTGGATTTCTGGCTTCTTTTAAAACACTGAAAGATGTGGCGATGCTGGAACCCACATTCCCAGAGAGCAACAAACGATTAGAGATGCATGGCAGGTGCCCCGCTTAGAAGGACATGCTCTCCCAGTTCTCCACAATCCCCACCCATCCCTACAGTCATCCCTGACCCACCTTCTCCATCCTTCACTTCCCGGCCCCAGGGGACATGTGTGGTTGCTCCAGACCAGCTGAGTGCCATTTTCTTTGGTTTCCCAGCCCTGCTCGGTTGAAACTTTTTCTGCCACGTCTTTATTCCTCCCTAACAGACCAACCTACTCTTTTCTTTTCTTCTTGTTAAAACGCAGAGAATACGTCCCCACTCAGAAAACCAAGTACCCTGCCGTGTGCAAGTCCTTCAAACATTTACTGAGTACCTACTATGTGCATCACACTGTGAGGAGCCGGCGCCACACGGATGTGGAAGATGCAGTCTTTGCTCCACAGCTGAAGGTGTGCCGGGCCACACGAGGCCCTACCCATGACCGCTCAAGCATTAGCCTGAGTCCCCAGTAAGGCAGGGGATGGCAACATTTTTCTGTAAAAGGCCTGACAGGAAATGGTTTCAGCTTTGCAGGCCATATGGTCTCTGTCGCAACTATTCTGCCAATTGTAACGGGAAAGCAGACACAGATAATATGCAAACAGACAGGTGTGGCTGCGTTCCAGTATTTACAAAAACCCGTGTCAGCCGCATTTGACATCATGGGCTACACTTCGCCAACACCGTGCTAACGTTTGTGTTTGATGTAGCAATATTCAGTCCCTCAATTTCTAGAAAAGAAGGGCGCCAGGGGCTTTAAATTCATCAACCAGAAGAGAGATCTGCTCCTGTGATTTACTGGAGCAAGTCCCCCACCCTCTTTAAGAAAAGGCCGCTCTCCAGGGGCATCTCTCTGGGGTCATGCAGACCGGGTCTGAGTTCTGGTTTTGCCATTTACTGCCCTTGGGACCTTAAGTAAGTTATTTCATCTCGTCAGGGCATCCGTTTCCTTCTCATCAAGTGAGGATAACTGGGGCCACCAGAGAGGGCCGCTGTGAGGGTTAAATGAGATCACTGGTACACGGGGCTTTGGCACACCCCCTCCACAGCATATGTGCTCAGCGATCGCAGCCGTGCACACACCTTCAATCGTGAATGAATGGACGGAGACTCTTTCCATCTCTAGATTTCTGGTGCTGCACGGCAGGTGCCCGCTGAGTCCTGGCTGAGTCCTTGGGACACAGTCCTGACACGGCCTGGTTAGGGTGTCCTATTCTAATCACCTCCACCCTCCCCAAATCCTTCAGAGCCGCCCCAGTGCACACAAGAAACTGCACTGCCTTTTTTTTTTTTGCACTGCCTCTTCTAAACCATTAAGAACAAGCTAATAACAATTTATACTGAGCTTTAAAGTTTGTTTTTTTGTTTTTCTCAAGTGAAGAAAAAAAGAGTTAAGAAGCTAACAGGCAGAGGAATGCTATTCGGAATGTCCCTGAATGTCCCAGAAGGCTTTTGGACATCAGTCTTCCCGGGACTCTGTGGGGCCTTGGGGCAGCCCTCACTGCCAACCCAGTCCATGTCTGACACTCTCCAGGCAATAGGATTCCCCACCCTGGGCAGCAAAGTGCAGGCAGGCCTTCGGGTGAGGGAAGTAGCATTCTGCTCACACGGGACCCCACGGCACCAGGATTAGGCTGGGCGTGTGGAGGAGGGGCTGGCACTGGGGTGAGGACCAGGGAGCTGGCCCTTGGCTTTCCAGGAGGCAGACCCGGGGGTGGGGGGCACAGAGACTGGATGGAAAGCGTATTTGTTACATGTAGAATCCACAGGTCGACCAGGTGGAGGTGCCGGCAGCCTCACTTCCAAATGCCCCCAGCGATGCGGGACTCCGGGAGTCAGGGCAGAAAAGGCCAGGAGAGCAGAGAGCAGAAACTCAGGCTCCTCAGAGGAGCCAGCCCACCAGCAGGCCTCACTCACCTTCGGCTCCAATGGACACGAGCTTGACTCCCTTGCTGGCGATGAAATCCAGGGCCTTGTTGACGTTGGAGATCTTGTGCACTCTCATTTTGCCTCTCTCCGGCTTGGCCAAGCGCTCCCCTGAATACAGACCGAGAGGGAGGGCAGGAAGGGTGAGATGCTGTTTCCCGGGACCCGGGCTGCTGCTCTCACGACCCCCTCGCCTGGCTGCGAGCGAGGGCCACGCTGGCAGGAAACAACAGAGAGAGCCGACCCTGCCTCTTTTCTGCCACTTCTCAGACCTGAACTGCTTGCCTCCACCCAGCAGATCTGTAGTAAGCACCCCCCACCCCAATCAGGGACTTGGCTGGGTGCTAGGAATAGAGGGGTGAATGAAACCGATTCCTGCCTTTGTGCACTTACGGACCAGGAGGAGCTTCAACAGAGAAACACACAAGTATATGCAAATAAGCAAACACCAAGAAGGATAAATACTTAACAAAAGGATGCAGAGGAGCACAGGAGGAGGACAAAGGGCTTAGGGAAGTCAGGGAAGGCCTGTGAGTGGGAGGGCAACCAGGCCAGGACAGCAGGGAGTGATGTTCAAGGCAGAAAAGGAACAGCACATGCAAAGGCCCTGAATCCCTTCTAGTCTGGAACGTTCGGCCTGGGAAGGTGTGTCGGCACTCTCGAATATTCTGGAAAAGTTCCTGGCGTTTGAATGGAACTGCCCACAGCCTCCCTCTTTCACTTGAAACCGCTGCCTCCCGCAGGGACATCATTGGCTTGGCTCCAAGTCAACCCTCCCACCCTCACTCCACCCCCTCCTCCAACTCAGGTGTCAGGCTCAGAAGCTGTGGGGAAAGGATGGTGCCCCCAACAGCCCACTAAGAGCACTTTCGGCTCAGAACAGAGGCACTCGGGGCCTTCTCGAAACTATTTGAAAAATTCATATGCCTAACACATGCGCCCATACCGGGGGAAGGGCACAGAGCAGTAAAGTCTCTAAGAGGCCAGGGGCACCAAAGGGCTGAGCCCCAGACTCAGCACGCCTGCACCTGCCACGGTCTCCAGCACAGCCAGCTGCACACCCCTCCGTGCCACACCAAGCACGTGAGCCGCCTGGCTGAGGGAGCTCAAGGGGCTGGGCGGCCACAAGGTCAGAGCAGCGCTTCTGCAGGGGGCCTCCCAGCCCCCCAGCTTCTAGGGAACAGACTTCCTGCTACAGATGGGATGAGGCAGTTCCCAGGGAAGCACAGCTGGGCTTTTGTGATTAAATCAGGACTTTCCACTCGCGGCCGCTGCTCAGCCTCTCCAGCAAGGTACCCCGCCGTCCTCCCGGGCAGATGACATGCCACATCTTCCCACAGGATGGATGGAAGCGGCACCCCATCCCGCCCCCCGCCCCGAAGGCCCTCCCGCTAAAGACCCAGCCGTTAGGTCCCACCAAGCCCGGGCTCCCCAGCCAGCTGACGGCTGTGCACACCGGCTGGAACAGGACGGCGGAGGCCGTCAGGCCAGCAGTTCTCGAACTTCAGACACCCAGCCTTCACCTGCCACCTACGTTTCTGATTTAGGAAGTTTGGGGTGTGTTCCGGGAATCTGCAGGCTGACAAGCAGTCCTGTGGACTCTGGTGTGGGTGGTCCAGGGACGCTTCTCAGAGAACCTGTGCAGGCAGCAGCCCCTTCCTTCCGTCACTCTATCCACCTCAAGACACTCAAGGAAGAAAAGGCAACGTCTCAGTGACTCCATTTCTCCCACTCCATGGGAAGAGACAAGCCCACTTCATGGACACACACCGGTCCCATTCAGTGGGGACACACTGGCAGCTACACAGAAAAGCCCAGTTCAGGGCATCCGGTCACCCTACTATTTGCCAAGCATCACCTACATGCCGAGTACAATCTGAAGCACTTGAGACACAAAGATGAGACCATCCCTGTCCCCAAACAGCTCAGGGTAGAAGGGGGGAAAAAAACCAAGTGAGCCAAAAATGATCATGCCACGGGGAAACTAACACAGTAGAAGAATTAATGGGGTGTGACGGGAGCCCAAAGGAGGGCGGCCACTCACGTGGTGAAAGCCTTCCTGGAGGGAAACCCCGAGCTGAGTTTTAAAGAATGAAAAAGAACAACACCAGGTTTGTTTAAACAAAGAAATGCTGAAGAGGAGGCAGGGAAGGATGCTCTAAAAGGCAGTTAAAGGAAAACAGTATGGCAGTTCCTACAAAAAGTTAAACATAGAATTACCATATGATCCAGCATTTCTACTTCTAGGTTTATACCCCCAAAGAACTGAAAGCAGGGACTCGAACAGACAGCATCCACTCATGTTCACAGCGGCATCTTTCACGATAGCCACAGGGTGGAAGCCGTCCGTCCAAATGTCCCATCAGAGGAGTGGATAAACAAAACGTGGCATGTACATACAGTGGGATATTAGCCTGCCAAAGGAAGGAGATTCCGACACATGGTACAACACGGATGAGCACAGAAGACATCACGATGAAATAAGACAGCCGCAAAAGGACACGTGTCCTGTATGATTCCACTGTTATGAGGTGCTGAGAACAGGCAAACACACCGAGACTAAAAGAATGGTGGCTTCCAGGGGCTCGAGGGAGAAGGGATGGGGGAGTTAGTGTTTAATGGGCTTGGAGTCTGCATGGGATGATGGAAAAGTCTAGAGATGGATGGTGGTGATGGCAGCACAACATTGGGAACGTACTGACTACTTCTGGGTACAATTAAAAATGTTTAAAATGTTGGGGGCATGGGTGGCTCAGCTGGTTAAGCTTTCAGCTCAGGTCATCATCTCACAGTTTCGTGAGTTCGAGACCTGCGTCAGGCTCCATGCGGATGGTGTAGAGCCTGCTTGGGATTCTCTCTCCCCCCCTCTCTCTCTCCCGTTCTCTCTACCCCTCCCCCATTCATGCTGTCTCTGTCTCTCTCAAAATAAATACTTTAAAAATGTTCAAAATGCTAAATTTTATGTTATGCAGATTTTACCACACACACACACACACACACACACACACACACACACTTCCCCACCCCACCCCCAATGCACAGATTTCACCTGCAAGAGGTTATTTAGAAGTATTGGGGGGGAAAAGTCAGTTGGAGCTTATGCAAAAGCCCAGAGGGTTTCCAGAAAGCATGTCATTGGTGAGGACTGCATGTCTCTTGGGGTGGCAGAGGGTCTGAGGTCTGATACCTTTTTGGGAAGTTAGTTGAAAACAAAACAGGTGCCAGCTCACAAAGGATCCCTCAAGCTATGCTAAGGAATGCGGGGCCGCAGGCTTCGAGCCCGGAGGCACTGAAGGGCTCTGAGCAGGGAACAGGGAGACCATATTTGGGCCGTCAGATGGTCCCTCTGGCTGCGCTGTGGGTGATGGACTGCAGCAGCGGGGAAGGAGCCAGGTGGGGGTTGCAGGCCTCTGTGGACCACCTAGGTGAGAGCTGACCCAGGGCCACACTGATACCACGGTAGCAGAGGTTAAAAGGATAACAGAAAGGGGCGCCTGGGTGGCTCAGCTGACCGTCCGACTTCAGCTCAGGTCATGATCTCACGATTCGTGAGTTCGAGCCCCACACTGGGCTTGCTCCTGTCAGCACGGAGCCCGCTTTGGATCCTCTGTTCTCCTCACTCTCTGCCCCTGCCCCGCTCTTTCTCTCTCAAAAATAAATAAACATTAAAAAAGAAAAAAAGAAAGGATAACAGATTGGACAGAACTCGAATGCCCAGTTGGAGACAGAGGAAGAGAGGTCTTTGATTCCTACATTAGGTTCAAAAGGACAAGATGGAGATGACGAGAGGAAAGAGGTCTGCCGGGGCCAGGGCTGGTCAGCGCAGTTTGGGACACGCTGAGGGGACCCTGGGGGGCATGTGGGTAGAGATGGGGTTTGAGAGAAAAGGCTGGACTGAGACCAGGTCTGGGACTCACTAGGGTCAAGGTAGAAGGTAAAGTGAAGAGAGTAGCTATGATTACCCAGTGTATGAACCAAGGTGAGAATGTTGGAACCACCGACCGCTAAGGCATGGTGGAGGAAAGGTATTCATAAGAAAGTGGAAATGTGCATTCAAAGGGAGCTGCCCCTCCAGATTTCTGGACATCCTAAGTCTACACGGGGGGCCAGATAAGTGAGTGGGATCATCTGGATATAGGCAGATGGGTTCTAGTGGAGCTGAGGTTTGGAGATGGTTACATAATGACCCCAAAGTCCAAGCACTCTGGAGGGGGAAGGGACCTCCGAGACCACCCTCCATACTCCCTCATTTTGCAAATGAGGGTGCTAAGGCAGAAAGGCAGTGGCATGTCCAAGGACACATGGACGGCCGGCCGCAGCAGAGCCGGAAGCAAACCCGGTCTCCTCGTCTTAATTCACATAGGTCGCCCCTGACTTCTTGCAAGAGACCCACAGCTCACCACGACCAATGGCAAAGCAGAAGCAGGTGGCAGACAATGCTCCCAAAGTGGCTGAGCCCAGCAGGCAGCACCCTGTCTCGGCCAGGGCGGCCCACCTCACCTGAGATGACCTCCAGCAGCAGCATGAGCTTTAGTCCGTCCCGGAAGTCCTCCTCGATGTTCTCGATCTGCGTCCCCGCCTTGCGAAGGTGGGAGTTGCACCATGCCGTGAACGTCTGGGCAAAGGAAAGACGAGCAGGCGGTCAGGCTCCCCACAGGCCCCATGGTCTCTGAAGCCCTCACAGGGGCCTCCGGGGGTCCCCAGGACCCACCTGCCTCATGCCCTTTCCAGCTGCTGTGTTGGCACCAGTGGGATGGACAAAACAACACGTCCTTTAACGCCTCCCCAACCAACCTTCTTCCAAAAACACCACCCCGTCCACAGCAGAAGGGCCAGCAACTTACCTCTTGGGGTATAAGGCTTAGTTTCGATCTTCACAGTTACAAGGCAGATTACCCCAGAGGTAACACATTAAGCCTCACTAATTAATTAGGGCAAAACAGTTCGTTAAATCCTTGTCCACTTGGCAGGGACAAGGGAAAGACTTAGTAAGTCTTGTCGGGATCAGAGTTCAGAGGCCCGGGATCAGGATAAAGGAGAAAACGGTGAGCATCCCGATGCCCGCGTGTTGTGTATGTTTGGGGTAGGGATGTGGAGCCACCTCAAGCTGCAAGAGCGTGAGGAAGAATTCCAGGAAGGGAATCTAAGGAGAGAAAATGAAAGACCGTCTATATTGTAATTTTCTAGCCGGCGGGGACAGAGCAGCAACACTGAAGCCTCTTCTGTAGCAACCAAGCAGTCCTGTGCCAACAGCACCACCTTGTGGCTCAAACAAGGAACAGGGTGACTCAACAAGCAGAGGAAAAAAAAAAAAAAAGCGTGTGCTTCAATTTCCCACGCCCGCCTAAAATCTGGGCAGGGGTCTCTCCCCAGCTGCCACATTCCACGGGAAACAGACAGAGGAACTCTCTTGCTTCAGATCCAATCCACTTTTGGCAACTCCACACTTCTATGCATCAACCAAACGGCACTCAACTACATGGGGGCTCAAGAGCCAACGTCCAGCCCCCCACAGCAGGGCCAGTCAGCATTCTTCCCACCTGCCCTGCGAAGTTGCAACAGTGAGCAGTGTGTTACTCAGCAGCAGCAGCCGCCCCAGAACTACCCTCCTCCTCAGCAAGGTCACCAGACTCATGACCCCCCCACCCCAACACTTCCTCTTGCCCCGGAGGAACAGTTAAGTGGCAATGAACTGGCAGAAGGGAAGATCGCCACACCGGTGACCATCAGGGGAAAAGAAATGGTTGCTTAGGTTTATAAGGAAGAATTACAGAGCCTGTGAGCCGGAAGAAGGGATAACCGTTCACATAGGTGGGGAGAAGAAGCAGTATTATGACACCCCCAGTTCTGACCTTACCTTTAAACAATGCCTCACTAGGAATTTACCAACATGGGCTACTTCTCTGTCCCTGCAAACACACCTCCACTCTGTAGGCCAGTCTGCTCCCGTGAGAGAGAAGAGGCGCGTATGTGCTCTCCAAAAGCTTTGCGAAGGTTGGCACATAGGCTAAGGGTGGGCAGGGGGCGTAGACGAATCCTCAGCCTGGAATATCCTCTAGGTCACGCTTAGCTAGCTCATGCTCATCTCCCAAGATCAGGCTAAGATATCACCTCCTCCGGGAAGCCTTCCTGACAGCCAACTGCCACATCTGGGTTGGGGCACAGAGCCGAAAGCACCCTACACCCACTCCATCATTGCCCATATCCCACTGCATGTTCCTTGCCTGGCCACCTGCCAGAATGGTAGCTCCTGAAGGTGTGGACTCAATGCTCTCCCCAGAGTCCCAGGCACAGAGTCAGGGACACAGCAGTGACCAAAAGAGCAAAACCCCTGCCCCGTGCAGCGGACATTCTAGTGGAAAATTGGGCAACTGGGGAAGGAGCCAGTGAGAAGCTGATGTGAAGTGAGGGGGCCTAGATGATCCCACTGCGCCTGTGGGTGATGCCGGATGGTATCAGAGCAGGGGGCCACACAGTGCCCTCAGGGACCCTCCGGAAGTGTGAGACGACAGCTCAGAGGAAAGGGCAAGAAGGAATATTTACTGGGTGCCCTTCCTTTGTGTTGGTGCTACAACCTGGCAGGAAATGAGAGGGCACTTAGCCTTTATCTTCATTTTGTTAAGACTATTTTGGTTGTTGTAAAAAATATTAGAGTGTTAGAGAAATTTTTTATCTTGAAGATAATTTATTTTGTGGTTCCATATTCTCCCCCAGCTGCACCTGTCCATGTACTACTGCCTGGATGTCACCACACTGTGTAGTTAGCGGTGGGGGGGGGGGGGGGGGGGGGGGGGGGGGGGGGGAGTCTTTCTTCATTTACCACCATCTTGGATTTCCACAGCGCCTTGTTCTCATCTCCCTTCCAGGCCCACACTCTGCCACTGCCTGGAGTTTTCTACAGACCGGAGGGTAAGTGGATCCACACCCCTCCCACCCCCCCCCAAGCAGGGGACAGTTTCAGTCCTAATGCGGCCAGAGTCCTGGCGGGAATCACCAGCACAGCTGGGGCCTGTGAAATCTCACTGTTTATCACCCAGTTGTGGAGAGGGTTTGGGGATGAGAGGAAGAGGCTGGTTTTGAAAAAAGACACTGCTTTTGCAAGAGGAAAATGCTGTTGAAAGCAGCCAGCCCCATTTCCTGGGGAAGCCAGGCTCAGAGCCCTGGGAGACAGAAATGCACCTGTGTTTGCTCACGTCTCCCACACAAACCCCTGCTTCTGAGGCCTCTGGGACTGCGCTTCGCTAAAACCCTCAGTCTTGCATCCCGGGCCCCACTGATGATGCCTTGAAGGGGCGTCTGAGCACCTCCCAAATAAGACAGTTCCACCAACAAGCAGCACCCATCACGCAACTCAGGCTTACATAGGAAATGGAGGAGGTAACTTGGTGACCGAGAATGTGCCTTCGAGATACACCAGATCTGGATTCAGTGCTTAGATCTACTCTCTTCAAGCTGCGTGACCTTCAGACTACCCTCCCTAAACTTTAGTTTCCTGAACAGTAAAAGAGAGACAGTGACGGCATGCTTTAAGTCAGGAGGATTCACTAGAAAACACTTAGAAAGTGCCTGTCACTTAGAAAAGTGCACAATCCATGGTAAAGGAGGAGAAAGGGTAGCTCCCCTGAACCTCCCGGTGGACCCACCACTCTGTGTCCCCAGCCTGCAGCCTTCCCACCAAACTCTGCCTGGGGCCCACCCCAAAAGTGCGGCCCTGGGTTCCCAAGAAGACACTTAGTGTGTCTGAGAACGCGGATGTGTTACGGGAAAGGACTACCATTGTGTGGGGTGCAGAAAGCATGTGACTTTGACAGTGGCCTTGTGACTCCTCAACAGAGGAGAGACTAATAGGGTAAAGAGTGTGTGGGGGGCAGCGCGGGGGGGGGGGGGGGGGGGGGGGGAAGTACAGCACCAGCAACGTGGGCATCCAGGCACATCACGCAGTGATATTCTTTCCTCCAGCATATGGCCCCACCTGTTGTGTCTGAGACACTGAAGATTCACGCTTCCCTGGCCAGGGCAGCGCTTCAGGAGCTCCTTAGTAAAGGATTTATTAAACTGTGGTTTCAAAGCCCAGAGCTCAAGTAATTTCCACAAGAAACACGAAGGGTGGAGGGGTCTCAATTGCTGGTGAAGACGCACGAACAGACCTTGGTCTTGATGCTCAAGCTCCAACATTATGACCGAGGAGGACACCTGCCCCTTAGCAGTGCCCCAGGGGTCCAGCAAGGAGGAAAAACCAGCAGCCACAATGGACATCCATGGCTAGAGACCCAGGGCCCCTTGACCCCCAGTGCGGGGAGCAGTGCTATCCCAGCAGGGCTATGGTCCAGTCCCATTCAAACGAAGGGCAGAGGGCCATTTTATTGCCTTAGTCCCCGCCAGGCCAGGCCCCATTGGACCTTCCCCTTGCTCCAACTGCATCATCACTGGGTCCATCTTTGGCTAACAGCCTAAAGAGATAGAGGGAACCAGTGGGCTTTCTGTGGATGCACGCAGTTGCAGAAACGGGCTCGGGAAACATGCTTGGGGCGCCATGCTGGAAGTGCTCGCAGGTTCCCTTTCCCATTTCACCCTCCTCCAGCCCTGCGGCAAGTTCTGAGGGTGCTGGACAGAGAGAGGGGGGGCTAGCGGAGAACCTGGACCCTGTTCAACCTCTCACTGACCTTGAATTATCTACCCGTATCCCATCTGGATTACCCCATAGGCATGACTCAGAGGCTGAACCTTTAAAGTCCAGCGGCGTTCATAGCCTTGATCTTGGTGGAAGAAGGGAGTGCAAAACACGAGATGCTGAAGCACAGGAAGGTCACTCTACAGAGTGAGCATCTAAGAGCCTGGAAGGGTTCATTCTAAAGAAGACAATGCAACCACTTCTGGTCAGGTGGGCACCTTGGGCCAGTGACACAACAGGGCTCTGCCTCAAGGCACTCATCTGTAGAATGGGGGGTAATATGATGGGGGTAATAAAAGCATGGGGTTGGAGGGGCCAGTAAGACGATCTGTTCAAAACATTGAAAAGAGCCTGGAAGAGAGTGACCGCTTAATAATTACCTATCATTACTGCTACCACGCTAATTAGAGTTATTGCAAGCTCCTGCTGCCCAACATATTTCACCAAAGAATGTTAGAGCTGGGAAAGACGCTAACATCACCCAAGTCAAAGCCTCACTTCACAATGGAGGACACACGACCAGAGAAGGCGAGTGGCTTTTCCCAGGCCACAAAGTTGGGTGTGTTCACAAACCAGCCAGCCTCCTGACTCCCCACCCCGCACACTTTCTGTTCCACCAGGACATCGTAGATTTCAGATTCAGGTACAGGTGGGCTGAATCTTGTGGAGTATCATTGAAAATGGGTCACTATGAAGTGAAAATACCAACTAGACAGGATCTGGATGACTCCGGTCAGCACTGGCACAGAGTCTGAGCTGATGAAACGTCAACAGAGCTGCCGTGGGGTGGGCAGCCTCTCCGGGGGCCGGGGGCAGCGTGGTGGAGAGAGGTGAGGGGAGCAGAGCCACAACACAGGCAGGTGACCACCAAGACATGGGAGAGCGTTCTGGATGGTGAGCGGATCAGAAACACGTCTTTGCAGGGAACTCTGGGAACTGGGGCT